CTTCCTTCCTTCCTTCCTTCCTTCCTTCCTTCCTTCCTTCCTTCCTTTCTCCATAAATAACCAAAACCCATATTCAATTTTCCCAGCAGGAATTTTTTATTTAACCTGAACTGTGTCTAAGTGTGTCTTAGATTCTGCCAAGGTGGTCCCCAGGTGAGAGGCACCGAAATGTCTCTAAGGAGTTCTGCTCCATCCAAGAACATTTACCAAAGGGTAATCCACCTTCTTCTGTCCCTGTTCTCTCTCTCTGCTAACTACAACTCTCCTCCACCCAGGAAGAAGCTGAGCGCCCCTCTCTCCGCAGCACCTTCCCTGTCTTTGCCATTCCAGACAGAGCTGTTTTGGGATGGAACCTAACATGGGGCAAACATTAGGCGTGGCTGTCGCTTCTCATAGAGATGGTGTAAATTTCAATACCTTACGCGTCACTTAAACTTTCCAAAGAATTCTGCCCGTCTTAGAAGAACGTAGCACTTTAAAAAGTGGCCTCTGTTATTTGATTATAGGTCCACACTCCAGCTTGTTTAAACAGCAGACTTTAACAAAGACAACCTCTTACACTTAACTGCCCTTCTTGGAGAGGACAGTCTCTCAAGTGACAACAGAGAGCTTTGAGTGGTGGACAGGCTTTGCGGAGGCACGGTCTGTCTGTGCTTACAGAGGAGGTGGATGGTGCTACATCCCAAACACAAATTTCCCTCACACACTCGCTCACGCTTCGGGTCCCCGTTGTCAGTCCTTACAAAGGTTCGAGCTTTTTGACCCAAAGCAAGGGGTGGCCAGCAGGGCTGGAGGAATGGGGTGGGAGACGCTTTAGGTTTCTCTAGAAGGAAAAGGAAGCCCGACGCATACATCTCCTGGGGGTGAAAAGGAGTCACTAACACACACACACACAAGCCCCTTTAGGCGGCGACAAGAGTGGTTGTTATGGCAGATGCAAGTTGCTCCCCAAGTATGTCCTGAATGTGGGAGGCCACAGCAGCTGCCTTCCCTCGAGACAGCCCGCAGGGCCGTTGCCAGGAGCTATAATGACCTGCTGGCCCTTGCCAGCCGTCACATTTTGCATGCCACCGGAGCTCCGGTCCGGTAGAAGGGGCCATCCAAGTCACCAGTTTCAACAAGCGCCAAATCCTGTGCCCATGCTGGGCCCGCACGGCCACCCAGAACCCTCTTGTAGGGCTCCATGGAGAGCACTCCAATGCACGCTGACCAGCATGTCCGGCTGACAGTGTCCTTGGCCAGGACAGAAATGTGGTGGGGTCAAGAGCTAAAGGGAACCCTCAGGGACACCCCCAGGAAAGAGGGGCCCTTTGAGGGGGAGAGCAGCCTGCGTCTTCCCATCTCTTTGATTCTTGGGGCGCCCCTGTCCATGGATGGGAAATGTCCAGGGTGCTGTCTGGCCACTCTGTCCCAGGCATTAGCTTCTGTCTCTCTCACTCACTTCCTCTTCCTGCTGGCAAGGAAAGGTTCCATGGCCCCTGCCCCGCATGCGGACAGAGGAGGAATGCCCCACTATGGTACCTCCGCTGCAGGACAGAGGGGTCCCCAGGGTGAAGGTGGGCACCTAGTGCAGGGTTTACCGAGGTGGGATCCCAGGAGCCCTCTCTTCTGGGACTTGGCTGGAACCCATCAACTGGTGGATACTGGCTTGGCCTGGGCTGGTCCCTCTGTCCTATCCCCCTGGTCGCCAACCCTCCCCCTCGTGGCCTCCTCTTGGCTTGCTGGAAGCCTGGTCCAGCTGGAGGGAATTCTAGAAGCCAGCTCCTGATGGTGCCACTCTGCACCTCCTGTCCGAAGGCGCACCGTCAACCCCAGAAGCCCACTGCGCCCCGGGAACCTCAGGTATACCATCTACAGCAGGGGTTTTTTAAAAATGCTCAGCTCACAGGGTTCCAGGGAGAACCAGACGTCTGTAAACATGCTTTGAAAAGCAGAATGCTTCTCAAACGGTAAGTGAGTTGCTCACCTTCTTGGAATTTCTGAGGTTGATTTGCTTGATCTCTCTCCTTTCTGTCAGTACATTTCTGCTTAGAGACTCAGCTCCCCACCGCCCAAGGTTTCTGACTCTCTTCCCACGTGGCCTCTCCAACACTTCGTCAAGTCAAGGCCTCCTGAGGATCAGGGGGTCCTACCAGGGTCCTTCCCTCTCCATGAAACCTATAGGAAACTCCTGGATTAAAGCACGTTGGGAGTTTGAACATCTCAAGGGATGAGCCTGTGAACTAGGGAGATCTCAGACCCATCCCTAGACACCCCCAGACACACAGTAGTAGCAAAGCCCTGTGCTGGGCTTTGGAAGGATAGAGAAGTGAACAGGTGGTCCCCACCCTCAAAGCAATCACACCCAAATGTGGAGATGATCTCCAAATAACACAATTTAGGCCACAGGGACACACTATCAATGGTTTGTCAAACATGATGAGAGGTGGGAAAGATGAGAAATCATCAAGGCTTCAAAAGGAAAGTAATATTGGAATTGAACCAAGGCATGGGCAGGATGTCGCAGAGAGAGCTAGAGGTCAGAAGCAGCGATCAGAGTGAGCCTATGGAGCAAATGTTGGTGGAAGAAAATGGAAACGAAGCAGCCCTGAAATCAGCAAGCCCTGAAATCAGCAAGCCCAGCCAATAGGTTCCTCGAGCTGGAATCAGTTTCCATGGTGGACAGACGTCCCTCTTCTTACCCCAAAGAGGACCAAGATGGAAAACCTCATTTTCTTTCTGTTACCCTTGACATCACGCTGTCCCACAGGACTTTCTGTGACGAAGGTTATGTTCTCTATCTGTGCTGCCCAATTGATGGCTTCTAGCCACCTGGAACTGCTAAATGCTCAAACAATGCTGGTGCAACTCAGGAACGAAATTTCTAACTAGATCTTATTTTAATTAATTAGATTTTTTAAAGATTTTATTTATTTGAGAGAGGGAGAAAGAGAGAACACAAGCGGGGGGAGGGGCAGAGGGAGAGGGAGAAGCAGGCTCCCCACTGAGCAGGGAGCCTTACACCGGGCTTGATCCCAGGACCCTGAGATCATGACCTGAGCCGAAGGCAGATGCCTAACAGACTGAGTCACCCAGGTGCCCCAATTAATTAGATTTTAATAGCCACAGAGGGCTAGTAGGGGGCAGAGGTTTAGATACCAAAGCCCTCTTCCCCGTGCCACTTTGCCATGCTATGATGACAGGCTGCAGCAGTATGCCCAGGCATCGGGGTAGAAAACTTCCAGAGCCACCAAGTATGTCATTTGGGGAAGAGAAAGATACAGTCCCACCCTCAACAGATATGAGCATGTGGGTGGATTTTTGTTTGCTTGTTTCTGATAAGAGGCCAATTTCTGTGTGGTTTTTGCTTCAACAAGAGTGGAGTCACTGGTAGAATGACTACAAATCCCTTTTGGGGAGGAAAAGTACCTGACCCCCAAAGCTCCTAAGTCCCTTAAAAACCTTTCAATCAGAGGTAGGGGAGACAGAGTGGCCTGGAGTAACTATTCTACTACTAGTAGTCCCTGAGCCTAGAAATTTGGCCCTCAAAACCTGGCCAGAAATCACACATTTAAAATTTAAAAAATATATATGTTACACCCATGTTCAGTGCAGCATTAGTCACAAAAGTCAAAAGGTGGAAGCAACCCAAGTGTCCATCTATGGAGAAATGGGTAAACGAAATATGGTGTACAAACACAATGGAGTATCATTCAGCCTTTAAAAGGAAGCAAATTCTAACAAGGGCTACAACAACACGGATGAACCTTGAGGACACAAGCCGGTCACTAAAGACAAATGCTTTATGATTCCACTTAAAGTCAAATGCATAGACAGAAGACTGGTGGTTTCCAAGAGTTGCACAGGGGGTGGATAGGGAGTCACTGGTTAATGAGCACCGAGCTCCAGTTTTGCAGGATGAGGAGTTCTGTGACCGGTTGCACGGCAGTGCGAATGTACTAAACACTATTAAGTGTATACATTACAATGCTTAAGATCGTAAATATTATGTTGCTTGCCTTTGACCACAATTGACGATATGCACGTGTATACAATAAAGCAGAGGCAGAGAGGAGGAGGCAGTGCAACCAGTCCTCCAGCAACAAGCGCATCTCACCCCAAAAGGCGCCGTCCCTCCCCTCCCTCCCGGGGGCCAGTCCTGTGACACTCACCCCGGCGGGCACAATAACCTTCTTGAGCGGTGCCAGCCGCACCTCCGCGCCGGCTGAGGCGGAGCGGCCAATGAGCACGCGCCTGAACCCGGCCTCGCGCCCCCATTGGCTGCGCCCAGCGGCCCGCGGCCCCGCAGGTTCCCAAGCCGGGTTTAAAGCGGTCGGAAGCGCGCTGCTGCCCTGCCATCGGCTGCCCGCGCGCAGGTCGGCGGGGAGGGGCGGCCTGCCGAAGGGCCCACCCCGGGGCGTTCCTGAAGGGCGCCCTCGGCCGCCCCCACCGCCCCCCAGATGTACTATGCGCTTTCCCAGGCGCGCGTGAACGCGGCCCCCGCGACCATGCTGCGGCCACAGCGGCCCGGAGACGTGCAGCTCGGGGCCTCCCTGTACGAGCTGGTGGGCTACCGGCAGCCGCCCTCCTCCTCCTCCTCCTCCTCCTCCTCCTCCTCCTCCACCTCCTCCTCCTCCTCCACGGCGGCCCCCCTCCTCCCCAAGGCGGCGCGCGAGAAGCCGGAGGCGCCCGCCGAGCCGCTGGGCGCGGGAACGGGGCCCGGCGCGCACGCGGGCGGCGGCTCCCGGGCGGACGCCAAAGAGGAGCAGCAACAGCAGCTGCGGCGCAAGATCAACAGCCGCGAGCGGAAGCGCATGCAGGACCTGAACCTGGCCATGGACGCGCTGCGCGAGGTCATCCTGCCCTACTCGGCGGCGCACTGCCAGGGCGCGCCCGGCCGCAAGCTCTCCAAGATCGCCACGCTGCTGCTCGCCCGCAACTACATCCTGCTGCTGGGCAGCTCGCTGCAGGAGCTGCGCCGCGCTCTGGGCGAGGGCGCCGGACCCGCCGCGCCGCGCCTGCTGCTGGCCGGCCTGCCCCTGCTGGCCGCCGCGCCCGGCTCCGTGCTGCTGGCGCCTGGCGCCGTGGGGCCTCCCGACGCGCTGCGCCCCGCCAAGTACCTGTCGCTGGCGCTCGACGAGCCGCCGTGCGGCCAGTTCGCGCTCCCCGGCGGCGGCGCGGGCGGCGGCGCGGGCGGCCCAGGCCTCTGCACCTGCGCGGTCTGCAAGTTCCCGCACCTCGTCCCCGCCGGCCTGGGCCTGGCCGCAGTGCAGGCGCAGTTTTCCAAGTGAGGGCCCGCGCGGGCCGGGAGTGCGACCTAGGCCCGGCCTCCCGCCGCCCCGCTTCTCCGCGCCCCCGCGCCCTGCACTCGGGGATGGCTAGCCAAGCACGGAGGGCACTTCCAACCTTCTGGCCCAGAGGAAGGGACCGTGGGGCGCCCCCTTCCCCGCCCCCACCCCGGGGAAATTAAAGTGACGCGAGCGGATGTTCGACGGAGCGTTGGGGCCACTGGGGGGGTCCTGAGTCCATTCCGGCTGCTTTGGGCAGCAAGTGCGCGCTCCCAACCCCGCTCTTGCCCAGCTCCCGTCTCTCCCGGTCCCTGGAGTCTTGCGCTTCGCGGGGGTGGTGCGGATTTTAGGGCACCGCGCGGTGGCTTTGGCTTGCTCTGGGTGCAGCAGGAGGACAGTCCTAGCGCCACGGCTCAAAGAGGCGACACCTGCCCAATCAGGGGGCCAAGTGGCTGCTCTCCGAGGGCAGGGAAAGGGTTCTTTTGCTTCTCCCCAGCCAGAGGTCACATACTCCTTTGTTCCTACCAGCCAAGCCCTGTCAAAAGAGGCTGCCCGACCTCAGGAAGCCGAGAAAGACCAATTAGTCCGCGCAGATGGTCCCGGGCTTAGTAGACGGACTGACCCTCGGCTGTGGCGGGACAGTTGGCATCGCGGTACCGTGGGAGGAGGCGCTGATAACTCTAGAGTCCTTGGGTGTGCTGGGTTGGGAAGTTGGTCCGCTTTTATACCCTGGCTGTTAGAGTGCAATTTTTGAGAATCGCCTAAGCAGGGGTTTTGTTGCGGAGATTATTCGCTTTTAAATCCTGGGGTCTTCTTAAAAAGACAATTTAGAACTTGAGATTCACCATTTTGTTTCCCCTTCCCCCAAGGTAGCGTAACCAACATTTGAGCTTGCTTAAAAACAGAAACCAACCCCTTTGACGCAGACGATGTTCTCGGTTTACTAAAATAGGTAACACGGCACTTCGCAGTCACCGCCACTCTTGTCTGAAAGCACGATCGCTAATTAACTTTCTCATTAAAAGACGCAGAGGAGGACCTGAGCCCCAAACCTCCCGGCGGCTCGGCGGGTCCCCGCTGCGGTGGCGACGGCGGGATGGCGCTTTCTGCGCCGTCCCTTTGCGCGAGGGGTCTTTGCCCAGCGCTCTGGGCAGGTCTTCCCGCAGCTTTACATTTGAAGAACTGCCTGGATGACCGGTCTTGATTTGTTACAGACGTTAACAAATTATTTCACCCAAGATTATTTTATGATCTTTCAGCAGCTTGCTTTGAAGTCTCTGCTTAAGGTTTTTGGTTGTTGGTAGTAGCCGAATTTAACTGGCATTTTATTTTATCTCTAACTTTGTTTTGTTGCTCTGTGAAGAATCAACAAAATAAAACATTTAAAGACCTAACATTTTCCTCTGATTTGTTTGTTAATAAAAATGCCCTGGTGGGGCGCCTGGGTGGCTCAGTCGGGTCAGCCTCCGACTCTTGATCTCTGCTGAGGTCTTGATTTCAGGGTCCCGAGTTCAAGCCCGCGCTGGGCTCCGCGCTCTGGGCAGAGCCTACTTAAAATAATAATAATAATAATAATAATAATAAAATGCCCTGGTGCGCTGGTGGATTCAGATCCTCAGGATGAAGGTTAATGGTTAAATATGACCAAGGTTCAAAGTTTTTAAACCTGGCTTCCTGATTTGTAAAATGATCTAATGAGTAGGCATCTGCATGTCAGGTTCAGGCATCAGGCAGAAATATAAGGACCGAAAGTGAGTGGGTGGAAGTCAACTTCAGTCATTAGCTCTCAGCCAAGATGGATCTCTTGACTACTTCCTCCTCTAAAAATGAGTTTAAAAATACATTGATCATAAAATTATTTTGTGTGTCAACATCCTTCTCAACAACCCACCTTTTCCATCTCAGTGGACAGAAACTTAAACAGTGTCATACAGCTATGAGCTTCCCCCATTCTTTACATAAGGTTAGAGTTGTCTCCTAGGAAGTCATGACCTTAGACATCATTCTAAGAGGCAAAACAGCTCCTCTGGGTGACTGGTGATGTTACAAAGAATTTGGAATGTTGACTTGCTCACATGCAATATTTAAACATTTTGTAGTTATTAATGAAATCCAACTACTGTTTAAAGGCATGGGGTTAATAAAAGAGAAAAGTGTCCCCCTTAATCTGCAGGAAATGAAAGAAAACCTGAGGTGACTTCACTTTAAACATGTTGGTTTATTCTGAGGTATGGATGCACTTAGGGATAGTGAGCATTCATTTTTGGGAACATGTTGTAGGGTGCAGAGAGTGGTGCACATGCTGGAAGGATGGAATTGCCTTCCCGACCATGCTGGTTAAGTGTCTATTTCCTCAAGGAGGAGGCAGGAGAGGATATATGAGAGAGAAGCTCTTATGCACCAACACATTTCAGGAAAGAGCTTCTCATTCTTCCCAGACTCTGCCATCAGAAAAGTCACAGGCTTTTGGAATAAGTAAATTTGAATGGGGATTTTCTGCTTATTTAATCCCCATCCTTGTTTGCCTTGCATCTTGACTCGGAACCCAAAGTAAAAATCGACAACTAAATCAAAATCAAATCAGGACCTCCCTGAAAAAAAAATATTTCTGAGAGACTAGAAATAAACCATTCTCCCTGCAGTCCCAACTCCAACGCCATATGCCACCATCATTCCAAAACACATAGGAAAGAACAGGGCAGAGAAGGGGTGGGTGGTCTCCCTCTCTCTGGTCTCTACTTATAAATCGGAGTAAGTACCCAGGGCTTACAGGAAAGGTAATACTGTGTGTGATTTTCTTACTTAATTGAGAAAATCATGCTTTCCAGAACTGCTAAAGATTATGAATGCATTTAACAAGAACCTGCAGAGCTGTTTTGAGTCTCATCAAAATATTTAAGTTATCCGCCTGCACGTAGCACCGCTTGGCTATGGTGCTAAACAAGATTAGCAGACTCGCTCCTTAAAAGATTACATCCTGAAAAATCGCATCAGTGGGCATTCAAGAGTCCTGTAGGATGAAGCAGAAAAATGGTAATTATATATGGTGTCCATAACAAATTTAGACCTCTCCACGTTAAGTCTGTGGCAAGGCAGAGCCTGGGGCAGGTGCACTGTTTAAGCCTAGACACGTATGGGGTAGACCGTGGAGCTGTTCTTTCAGATCGGCAATGTTATGTCACGTGCAACAGAGCTAGCTGATGTGTCCACCTCACTTGATTTTAGCTAGAGCGAGCTTTTTGCAGAAGGAACAAATTTAACCTGATCTTTGAAGGGGTTAGGGAAGAAGAGAAGGAATAAGGGAGGCTCCTTGAGAAAAGTCCACCAGGCCTCAGAAACAAGATGAGAAAGAACACATGACTCGCTGCCCAGAAAGATCCCTGCACCCAGCCAACCACCAATGTGCAATCCCAGTGGTTGGGGTGAATGGAACCTAAGGGGTAAATACATGAGGCCTTGAGAAATTAGACTGTTAGATGTATGGGAGGCCAGGTGAGCAATCGGTAAACAGAAAGCAGATTGAATGCACCATGGGATTTACCTAGCCCAGAGTGATGGTCTATTTACAGATATTCTCCTCTAAGGGAAGCTGATTACACCAGGTATGAAAATATAACCTTGCAAAATACATAACTTAGAAGGTGAGTGTCCCCATCAAGGAAGAGGTCCACTCCAAGCATGGAAAGTATTTCAATTTCCCAAAGGTCAGATTGTTAACAATAGTGCTTCATGCACCCCTCTGGTTCAGGGTCACATGAAAGCGCATCTCCTCCAGAAGGTATTGTCTTGCTCATGCACTACCCCTTCCATTTCTTCACACTCAATAAATATTCAGTAAGAAGATTACCACCTCTACAGAAGTGGGCTCATGAAGCAAATGTTTGAAAAATGTCGTGTTTTTCTAAAACACAAATTCACTTTTTTTAAAGCAGGTTTTAGCTGTTAGGGAAAGAAATTTTTTTTTCAAGCAAGGTCCAGCTTATCCAACCACATTTAAGGTGTGAGAAAAGAGTAGTAAGATATTCCTCAAGCTACACACAGACTAGCCTCATTATTGACGCAGATGCTGCAAATGACTTCTTCAAGCACTTCCCATTCGGTCCTTTTGAACTAAGCCCAGCATAAAAGCTGAGATGCCTGATCAGAAATTAAGCCAAATTCTTTCTGTTCACATGGGATTAGCTGCTCCATCAGGGAACTTCCCCCTTTGTGTCCAGCTAATACTGAAGGGCCAGAGCTCAGGCTGAGCCCGGGACAATCAGGTCAATAGTCCCCGTCCTTAACCACTACAGGCTTCTTGATGCTCAGGGGAGGGCGTCACTTGGATTGAACGTGAAGGGAGTGCATTTCTCCTTCACTCCGCCAGAGGATAGAACACACAGGTGGGCCACGGCCGGGGACATAGGCCGCAGGTGCCAGATCCTCTCTCTAAATCCCACAGAGTGCTCATGGGGCAAGAGAACTTAGGTATTCTCTGTCCACCCTCCTCCCTACTGAATAAGGCAACAGAGGCCCGGGAAGTTCAGGAGACATGCTCAAGGCCACACAGGTAGTCGGAGGCAGTGATGCGAGGGACCAGTACCTGCTTGGAGGAGGCAAAAGCTGCTTCCCTGGCTTATCTTGGTGGGACTAGAACGTCCTGCAAACAGTAATTGTGGCAAGAGATGAGCCCATTCTTCCTGCCTCCTGGAAAATCTCCGACCTTTTGTGTCCAGCCCTCGGGCTGCCCCCATGAGCGGCATGGAAAAAAGGCAGACTCGGGACCAGTCCCCCACCAGGTGCCCAGCTGCGGATAAACCACCTGAACTTTCTCTGGCAGCCTTGCCCCTTAGCCCCGAGGGAGACCCACATTGGTGACAGGGAGTGGCAGAGGCGAAGCAAACCCTTTGAGAGAGCCTCTGATGGTGACATGTTTGTCATCAAGTTTCCAAAAGCAACCAGCAGAAGGCGAGGGAGCAGACACCTGATGGGCAAGGGCAGTGGGCTGGAGGGAAAGCAGCATC